AAAGAATCAAATCCATTTTCCAATATTGCTGTCAGTGGAATCATATAAGCAACAATTTTCCACAAATGCCATTGTAAGGATACTTCAAATAAATAAAATTAAACAATTTTCTTTTATTTTAAAACTTTGCGGAAAAACTTATCCTTACAATCCACATGGAAAATTGTTGTTATCTATTCCTTAGCAATATATCATAACTTCTTAAGCAACTGCTCAAAATTCTGATGCGATCGAAATCCACCTTCGCGATCAGAATCAGCATATACTTCCTTTAAGATTTCTCTCTATTCTTTGATTCTTAAAACATCAACATGTGACCCAGTCACATCATGTAATGAGGATCTCAGAATAGAACTTAACAGAGTTAGATAATGGGCTCTACCTGATGTAGAGTCAAACTTATTGACTTTAACATCCTTAGGTAAATTTGGCAGCTTTGCAATCAACGCCCCTTCCTTTGGCAAAATAAACATATGGACCCTTTGGTAATGGGACTATCTCAGACTTAGCCTTTCTCTTTACCATTTGGTCAACCGGGTTGACTATGGCCAATCCCTTTCCATTGGGAAGAGAATGCTTTTTCTGGATTTCCAGTGTCACCATTGTCACTGTCCATAAAGTTTTTGGGAAGTTGATCTTCTAATCAAATTTGCTTTACTATCGTTCCAAATCATTGCTGATTCAGCAGCACCAAGCAAATAGATATGATCATTAAGGTTCATGTCATAGTCTGTTTCATAGTAGTCCCAAAGGAACTCACTATGTGACTTAGAAAGTGATTGAACATCCAACTTTCTCAAGACTTTGACACCCAACTCTCCCGGCTTGTCAATATGTGACTTCATCTCTAAGATGTGATCACACATAGACCTTGCTTGCCATTAGGGCTTGAGTGACCTTGAACTTGTGGGTTAGGGAGAATAATTGGAGGAGGTGGAGGAAGAGAAGTATGACTTCCATGAGCCAAACTCGGGAAGTCATATTCATTAGGAAAGCTTGGTTTGGGAAGATCATTGTTGTCTAACCAGACATCAACAATGGGAGAAATTCACGTAAAGTTGATTTAAGTCCTTAATATAACACCCAATATGATATATTAAGGCTAGGACCCAACAAACTATTTTATAACTTGGAAGAGGGATGCCGTAATCCAAGCTATAAAATATTTGAAGGTAGGTGAATGACGATTCACCAATTTCCACCAAGATAAACGAAATGTATTATTAGGTTTTAATTGGTTTTGAAACTCCTAGATTCTTTTGAGATTCATTGAACTTTTCAATGGCATGTTTCAATCTCGAGTGTGCCCTTCAGGTTTTGTGACTGGGATGCCGAGGATCACAAAACAAGGTGTGAAGTAACCATGCAAATATACTTGGTACCCTTAATATTTACCCCTCAATCGATGTGCCGGTTAACCACACACGCTCCAACGATACTATGATAAACATTAAGTTACCCTTTGCCTACCTTGTTAAGTCCAGGTTAGTGTGCCGGTTAACCACACACGCTCCACTAACAGCTTAAACAAAGTGCAAAGTGTAATTTCATGGATTAGCACCTTATTCACATTTTCCTAAGTAACTAAGATTGGGAATTTATAAGTGTTTAGTTACTTAGTATTTATCATTATACTTATAATGAAGGGAGAATTATAGTCCTTGTCCTACCTGTTCGGCTAACGACCCTCCACCGGTCAAGGAAGCGGTGAGTGAGAGTGGACACCCATTAAACTGCCATTTTATAGGCAGTAACCTTATACCCCCCTTATAGACCGCTTCGTGAATGAGGCCTACTAATGGTAAGACGACTTGCTCTTATACATATAATATATTAAACTTTTAATATTATAATAGTATAAGGGTGTATTTTAGACATTTAAAATACTTGGTGGTTTAATCTATTAATTAAACTAGACTTTTAATTTAATTAAACTCAAACCATATATTTATGGATTAATAATACTCTTTTAATTAAACGCTTTAATTAACTATTAATAAAGTCCATAAGAGTTAATTTGAACTATTCAACAAAACATCATAATTCCAATTATTAAACTCAAAATTAAAACCATTTAATTAATTGTTTAAGTTATGAACCCAAGAGTTTTAGAATTCAATTCTTTTTTTCATAAAAAAACTTTTTCCAAATTCCAAAACTTGAGGGCAAGTTTTGTAACTCTTGAAAACTTTTGGATTCCATAACTTATGGAGTTAAATACTTGTTTTATGATGAAACTTTTCATGTTCCATAACTTAAGAACAAGTTATGGAATTCTTTAAAACATTAAGACCAAGTTTTGTAACTCCATAAAAAACTTTGAATCAATTTTTTTTTAAAAACCTTTTCATATCCATAACTTATGGAGGTTTCAAAAAACTCTTTAGATCAAACTTTTAAAACTAATAAAATAATCATATCATTTTATCTTTTACTAAATTTGACCTAATTCAACTCATATAGCAAATGATTCAAATTTTACAAATAATTAGTTTTTCACAAAAACAAGTAATTATCTTAAAATTTGACAAACGTCATGTTTTTTTTTCTTTTTTTTCAACTTGAAAATAAAACATTTGCATCAATATAACAGAAAACAACCCATGGCTCTGATACCACTGTTGGGTTTTGAGCATTCTAACACTCCTATGGTGTACATGCAACCCTATAAACCTTGGATCTATGTTTTCTCTATTATACATGCAAATATTAACTATTCCAAGGTTTCATCCTAACTAGCATATTATGAAGCACCTATACTACAAAGTTCTAGTTAGATGACATACCTTTTGATGTAGCTTGATGTCTTCAAGTTTTAAGAGCTTAGCCCCAATAGTGTGGAAGCCTCAAATGGAATCACAAATCACCAAACACCTTGGAAGAACTTGAGAGAATATGTATGCACACTAAAATCGGCCCACTCTTATTTTCACACACTTGTGCCAATTTTGTGAGCCAAGGACCCCTTTATATATTATGGAGGATTAGGGTTACATCCATGTAAACCCTAATACCCATGACCTTTCATTTACAAATGATCCATGGGTTAAAAGCTCCATGGACCATCCATGAAAGCTTAGCCCAACCTAAATGAACTTGGCCCATTCCATATATATAAGAGTCCATATTTAATTAGTTCTTTTTGATCACTTAATTACTTCTAAATTAATTCTTGATCAATACTAATTAAATAATATGATTCCATATTAATATATTAGAACTTATAATATATTAATATAAATCATAAATATACTATTCTCAAAAGACTATCCATATAAATTGTGCCGGTGAAGTGCAACCCAAATGGACCATGCCGGGTCGGGTCAAGTACATACCAAATATAGTTATGGACTTAGACATTAATCCAACATGGTCCACCCGAGTTGTGGGACCGGAAGGTCCCACTTAGACACATTGACCGGAGGGTCTTATTCGAGCATAAGCTATAAGAGGCTAATAGTTATGTGTGGTATTTTGGGAATCACTAAGCTTCGTGCTTACCGTGTTTATTGTTTAGGTGTTTTCAGGTACTTCTTAGGATCACGGGAAGGCACCGGCTTGAGTTGTACACACAGAACAGAGTTACATTTTGAGGATCCTGGATTTTGTGTTTAAAAAACATTTTCTGAATATGTGTTTTGAAAACATTGTTATTTGGGGTTTTGTGAACTATGTTATGAGAATTACGTGATTTTTATAATGAAAAATTTGTTTGAAAATTTACGGTGTTGCAGATTGTACATGGGCGTATGTGGGATATATGGTGGTTGTAATGCGTTTGTGTACATGAGCTGATGAGATTGTGAGTTTGACTCCGACTGCTCCGGCGTGTACGATCTCGTCCCCTACGCCGATGTTTTTTGGGCATTGTGCCTTTATGATTGCGCTTCCTGAGGGAATGTTCCCGAGAGAAGGTGGGAGTAGGGGTTGAATATCGGTTGTTGCGTGAGGAGCGGGATGTGTGTCATGCTCTCCATGGGGGAGAACTGGTAGCCCATCATCAACTGTTGCGGGGATGGCGAGATAGTGCTTTGAGACCAATTACTCGTCCCCGTTTGTCGTGGTGGAGGCTGAGGTTGGTTGGTAGCTAGTTGCGATTGATGGGTTGGTATCCCTTGTGGCGCTGTGGCGGTCACTGTGACCAAATGCTCTGTTGCGGAGGGGCGGTGGACACCATATATTAGCTATGAATTTCGCTGCAGAAACCGGCTCTCGTCGTTTCTGGTATTTGAGTAGATGTTTGCCCTACTGGTGCAAATGAACCAGTGCCGTTGAGGGACAGGATGGGTGTGACTGGACTGAGTTCACCACCGTCCGGCGTGACGAGTCCTCCATCCGCCATTGCCAAAGTCTAGTGTCGTTTTACCGCTTGTGTAGCAATAAGTACACGTCCGGATTGTGCCAGATGTTGTGATATGTCGCCGGGACTTAATGCCATTACTGGATATCTTGACAAGGTTAAGCCTGAGACAGCAAATAGAGAATAACATTAGTCAACGTCCAGGAGGAGATCCCGGAATGAAGCTCCGACGATCTAGTCAGTATCTAGATGACGAGATTAGGGTTTTTCTTAAGATGGAGAAAGAGGTGATCCCTTTACTTGGAGGAGAAGGGTTCTTTTTATACCTATTGTTGAGGGGACAGACCTCTAACAATGCCTTTTGTCCTTTTTGAGCTCACAGGACGTGGAGGTGTCCTATTGGCGGATCGTGCTCCACTAGTAGTTGCTCACTATTGGTGCAAAACTACCAGAGGGCAGCATGTTGAGCGCTACGCCTGTCGCTTTGGCAGGCATCCGATACTATTTTGTCTTGTTGTAGACCGAAGCTTATCGTTCTTGGCCTAGCCTTGGTGCTAGAGCGCCAAAACATAAGTGCTAGGCCGCGAAGACGAGGGCCCGGACCTAGCACTTGTCGAGCAACGACCATTGACTAGGTCGTCCTTAGGTAATGACCTCGTTATCTTTGACGTATTCCTACTGGGATATGTTAACGCTTTCCATGAAAGCAAAGGTTCCTTCCGGTCTGGTGGTCACCGACAACGCCCTTACAGATGATCAACCTTCCACCAATGTTGCTCCTTCCATAGTGGACTTCCCTTTCCTTCGTCAGTCACATTCAAGGTTTCAAGTTCCTTGGTGTTCCCTACATCTTCTGGTAATGCTGTTGATGACTTTATTTCTGGTTTGACTGATCGATTTGACGTCCCTGATGACGACAGTCATCTTTCTGATGCCGATTTTCATTCTCGTTTATCCAACTCTTTTATGAAAGATAACGACCATGTGTTTTCTCTGTCTGATTATGAGTCAGACCTTTTCGTGGACTTTGCTGTCAACAAAGAAGTATCTCTGCCTAAAAATGTTGAAACTTCTGCAGACAACCATGGTCATGGTACTTCCTTAGACCTGTCGGTGCTTTTAACATAGAAAGATTCCCCTATGTTGGGCCCTACTCCCCCGATTTCAGTTATAAAAGGTGCTGATGTTTCCCAAAACCAAACAATCATTTTGAGTGATTCTCCCTCTTCTTCTAAGAGCCATGTTCTCTCTCTGGAAGATATGTCCCTTCCTCTCTTGAAGAAGAAGTTGGATGGAGATTTTTCGAGGAACAAGACTTCGCTGGACAAAGTGTTGCGTCGTTTGGATCAACATGTATCATTTGGGCTTCAAATATCTTCTTTGTCTAACCAATTAAAGGTGAACCTCCTTCGTACAAAATTTATGAAGTCTGAAACAGTGACCTCCGACGCCAGTTAGTCGAGGTTAAAGTCGAGAATCAAGGCCTTGTGTCTTCAGGGCAAGAGGCAACCAATGTGAGTCTAAGCTATGAGAAAATCAATGTTCTGGAGGAAAAGGTTTGGGCGTTAGAGAAAGAGAATCAGAGTTTAATCAAGAAGTTGGAGTCTGAGGTCCGGGTTTTGGTACAAGAGAAAGAGAAGATTGAGACAACTCTTAGAGGTAATCTATCAGAGGCAGAGAACAAGTTTTCTAGTATGGAGATTTAGGTGGGCGGTCTGCAGAATCAGGTGAAACATGTAGGTTAATTTCCTTGGAAAATGACAAGTTGGTTCTTTCGGAAGAACTTGATCGATGCCGATCTCAGTCGCATAGCTATCCATCCGACCTCAAATGGTTGCTAAGGGAGGGTATCCCGAGGTCTTTAGTCCATCTTCTCCGTTCTCCTGAATATGGTCAAACAAATGTTAAAGCTCAATCCGCCTGCATTCAATATGTCCTTCACAAGGGTTGGCCTGAGATGAAAAACAAATATATATCCCAGTCTAAGTCTGCGGTACCTATTTATATTTATCCCGACACGTTGAACCTGGCTAAGAATTGGTTCAAGGAAATGGTGGCGGAGGAGTTTTTCTTTTTGAAGGATTTGAAGTAGGGCCGAGTGGGTGTGGCCGAGCTGAAGCAACTGATGTTGGCTCAGGATTTCCAGGGGTAGCTAGTTGGCGTGTCGGTGGGACCGCTATGCGCAGGTGGGATGTGGTGAATGGCTTTTGTACCTTTTTCAATAAAGGATATCTTTTTTAATAGGATATGTGGTTGTACTCTTTCACTTTAGGAGTTGTTTTCTTTGTGTGTATCTTTGAAATTTGGAATCGGTATGTCTGTTGTTTATTTTTCTCGTATGGATGTTACGCGCTATATCTAAATTTGCAACTATTCCTCTCGTTCTTCTTTAGTTTTCTTTGTACGTTTGATGGTTGGTGTCTGTTTCCGGCTTGATTTGGATGTGCCAAGTTTTAACTTTATATACTTTCATTATATTTGCTAAATGATTACCCAAGCCGGATTGATCGGGTCTTACAAAGTTTATATTTAGATTTATCCTTTACAGTGTATAGATGAAATGCTCTATCAAGTTGATTTGATTATTCTAAGGTTACCCTGAGGTTTATATTTTGTCGTTAGTTTGATGACTGATTTCTGAGGTCGGTTCAATTCGACTATGTGGGGCTTGCACTAAGGTTATACTTAGACTCACAAATTTGCCGTTTGCTTGACAACCGACTTCCGAGGTTGGTTCAGTTCAACTATGTTGGGCTTGCACTAAGGTTATACTTAGGTTTTAGTTGTGTCAGTTCGCTTGACAAATGATTTCCAAGGTCGGTGCGGTTCGACTATACTAAGTTTATACGTAGGTTCATATTTTTGTTAGTTCGCTTGACAACCGATTTCTAAAGTCAGTTCGGTTCGAATATACTGAGGTTATACTTAGTTTTATATTTTTGTTAGTTAGATTGACAACCTATTTCTGAGGTCGGTTCGGTTCGACTATACTAAGTTTATACTTGGGTTCACATTTTTGTCAGTTCGCTTGACAACTGATTTCCGAGGTCGGTTCGGTTCGACTATACTAAGTTTATACTTAGGTTCATATTTATGTCAGTTCTCTTGACAACTGACTTTTGAGGTCAGTTCGGTTCGACTATACTAAGCTTATACTTAGGTTCATATTTCTGTCAGTTCGCTTGACAACCAATTTCTGAGGTCAGTTCGGTTCGACTATAGGTTCAGTTCGCCTTGGGGGCCATTTTGTAATGTTTTGTTTACCCATAGCAAGAAATTTTTATAACCTTTACTTCTGAAGGAGAAAAGTGACTACAAAATCTAGCCTATCATAGGGCTTACATGAGTACAAAATTGGCCTATATTGGCCTCTCATTCTTTTGGTCTGGACTCGGCCTTAAAAGTGGAACTTCTTGAGATTCGAGATGTTCCATGTTCGTGGGACACAATTTTCCTGCAGGATTTCTAAAATATAGGATCCATTTCTTCGAGCATCTATGACTCGATACGGGCCTTCCGAGTTCACACTTAACTTTCCCCCTTTCTTTGCTCTGCTGGCTTCATTCTTTCTCAATACTAGATCACCTGTTTTGCAAGTTGTATCCCAGACTTGCTTGTTGCAGTAATTTTCTATGTCTGCCTTATATCTTGCATGCCTTATCGCATCTCTCTCTCTCTCTCTCTCTCTCTCTATCTATCTATCTATCTATCTATCTATCTATCTATCTACTAAGTTTAACATGATATGCCTGTCCTTGTCATTCTAACAAAAAGTCAAAAGAACATAATCTATGTGGTTATGTGTATGCGCTTATCTACCATAACATGTATGAATGCTTGTGTTTAAACTATGGCGAGTGAATGATTGAGTGTGTGGGGTAAACTATATGAGGAATTCTTTTCGCAAGTTGAGATTGTTTTGTCAATCACATGACTATGTGTATGTGTTTGTGTTTTTAATTATATATGTGTTTACTAGTGGTGGTTTTTTTTTTGTATATGAGTGTTACAAGTGGTTTTTCTGGTGAAGATGTATGGCAACATAGAAGGGGTTGGTTGGCGGTGAGAGGTGGCAGGAAGGTGGGGTAGCGGTGGTGAAACTATGTGGGGATGAGTGGGGTGGTTATGTGGGACCCGATTATATATTATATTATTAATAAACAAAAATATATACAAAAAATTGAAAAAAAAAATAATATAAAGGGTAGATTAGTGCTTTGAAGTTTTAATTTTTATGAGACCAAATTTGCAAGAAAAACTTCTTTAAAAGAAATATATACACAATTTAAAAGAGATTTAGACCTAACCATAGGAAATAACAAACCAGATAGATCATTTTTGTAATTTTGTCATTCTCCCATTATCCTTAGACAAAATTGCAAAAATGGTCCCTATGGTATGCATTTTTTGGGGTTTTGGTCAAAACCCCGACTTTTTTGGATTTGTGATCCTTTGGCCATGTTTGTATGTAGATTTGGTCCCTCGTAAAATTGAAATGACTAAATTGCCTTTATTAGATTTATTTTCCATTTTTTTATAAGTATTTTTATATATTAAATAAAGATAGTATCTCTCTCTCTCTCTCACCAGACCAACTTCCCCCTCTCCCCATCTTCTTCATTTACAGTCAAGAACACCCCACCGGAGGTGGAGCTGTTTTCCGGCCACCAAGAACACCGCTGCCAACCACACCTGCCACCACTCACACTCCACCATCTTTGAATCACATTCTCAACCCCAAATTAAAACTCGGAGGAATGGTGGGTTGCAGGTGGATGACTGCAGCGACGATGGCGGACTGCAACGGCGGTGGAAGGGCAGCAACGACGATGGGTGGCTGCGGTTGGTGGCTGTGGGCGGCCTTGCTGCTTCATTTCTATTGGCGGATGCTCGACGAGGGACCAAGACGAAACATCGGCGACGATGGCGTTTGGTGGTGGTGCATTATGACAGGATGGAGGCGTTTGGTGGGTGGTGAAGTGGGTTTTGCCAACAGTCACAGCGGTGGTGGGTGGTGAAGTAGGTTTTGCCAACGGTGGGTGGTGATGGAGTTATGGTGGCAGCTTCATTGCCTTCGTTTCCTTTCTTTTCAGGTGAGCTCGATGAGAGAGAGGGCAGGGAGGAGCAAGGCTATGGTCCGGAGGTGTTTGGGAAGGGTGTTTGCTGGTGGTGGGTCACGACATGGGGAAGTTGATGAGGTGTTCGAAAAATTAGGTGGGTTAAGTTGGTGGAGGCAGTTTGCTCCGATCAGTAGCAAGAGGGGGAAGAACACGGTGGTGTAGGGTGGTGTCTGACAGCTTGCTCGACAGAAACAGTAAGGGAATGGTGGTGGGGCTCGACCAAGACAGACGACAGTGGTTTCTAGTGGGGTTGTGGTGGTCTATGGCGGCAGTCGTGGTGGTGAGCAGCCTAGACCGGTGTTACAATCACCGATGCTTTCTTTGCTTCAACTGGAGAGAGAGAGAGAGAGAGAGAGAGAGAGAGAGAGAGAGAGAGAGAGAGAGAGAGAGAGAGAGAGAGAGAGAGGTGGGTCACATAATTTTTATTAATAAAACTTTATATTAAATAGAGAAAAACATAGAAAATGTATCAGAATGGTATTTTGTCTTTTTAATTTTACGAGGGACCAAAACCATAAACAAACTAGCTCAAAAGGACTGTCAATCCAAAAAAGTCAATGTTTGGACCAAAACCCGAAAAAAAAAGATGCATACCATTTTTGCAATTTTGTCTTATCCTTGTAAATAAATACAAAAATGAACCCCCAGATATACGCAAATAGCCGAAATATACACTAAACAAAGGGATCACCCAACATGTAACCATAACTCCATAAGCTTAATTATGATTTCAATCTTTATGCTCTGCTTCCTTCAGCTGAAGCCAGCGAATCAGATTCCCAAGCACTATCTCCACGTCATCACTCTTCTTCATCAACTCTCCTGCAATCTCAGCAGGCGTCACTTCAACCTTCTTCAACAGCCCTTCAATCTCTCCAAACACTTCCATCTTTTCATCCTCTTTAACCTGCAAATAAGTAGACGCAAGCACCTTGAACCCACCATAACTACAGTACGACATCTCCACCTGCACATCCATCCGACCTGGCCTCAACAATGCCGCATCCAATCGCTCCTTGTGATTCGTCGTGAACACGATGATCCGCTCATCCCCACAACTGGACCACAATCCATCCACAAAATTCAGCAGCCCTGATAAACTTATCTAATACCCAAATGAAAACAAACCGATAAGATCGAATCATGTAAGACAGTAAAAGATTCGATTGTTCGATATAACAATGTATCATGTACCTTATCATCTTCCTCATTTGAATTTGAAACATCGTTCTCTGTTTCTCGACTCGGCAATCCTACACCGCAGGCATCAATGTCCTCGATCACAATGATAGATCGATTCTTTGTGCCAACCAGCATTTTCCTTAGATCGGAATTGCCTCGCACCTCCTTTAAATCCAAATCATAGACATCGAACTTGAGATAGTTAGCCATGGCTGCAATTAAACTTGATTTTCCAGTTCCAGGTGGTCCGTAAAACAAATACCCTCGTTTCCAAGCCCTCCCCACCCTTCTGTAATACTCTTTCCTCCTTACGAACATATCAAGATCCTCCATAAGCTCTACCTTCTTGTCTAGATCCATAGCCATGGATTCGAATGTCGCCGGGTGGTTCAGAACCACCGGGCTCCAGTAATCGGTTCCGCTGTAATAGTCCACCGTATGCAACTTCACTGCTTTCTTCGCATCCTTGATCTCCATAGCTTTTTTCAGTACATAAGGCAGGTAATTCTTCAACACTGTTTCCTTATGCTTCTTGTGAAAATTTAATTCAAAGAACTTAAGTTCAGACCGAGAATTCGAGTTGTGATCGACCTCGATCACTTCGGTGTGCAAAACCCAGGTGCATTTCACGTTTTGGAAGACATCGATTATGGGTTGGTTGCGATCGACTGTGACTGTGAGTTCGTCGTCTTTTTCAGCTTTATTGGCTTTGATTCGGTGTGTGGAGGGAGATAACTTGGTGCCCAAATAAGTGTTGGCAGCTTCGAAGAGTTGGTTGGGGGTGAGGCCATCGAATTCCTCGATGACGACGGTGAGTTGGGTGGAGAAGCGTTTGAAGAGGGATTTGATGTACTCGGTTGGAATGAGATCGGAGGCGATGGTTCTGAAGAGGAGGGCTGAGGCAGTGAAGGATGCGGCGGCTGTTAAGAAAGATTTGGGTGGTGGGAGGGAATCGTATGAAAACATGGCTCCGGTGGGGAGGAGCTAGGGACTCTGCAACTTCGAAATAGAAATGGTAGAGAATTTGGGTTTTTAAATGTGAAAAGTTGGGCTTCCTACATTAAAGACATTAAATTAATAAATTTGTCAAGTAAATATTGTTTTACCATATGTTTGCTTTTATATTTATTAAGGTGTGAATTTACAAGCAATTTTTTATTTTTGCTATTTTTATATGGGATATCATGTTTTAGGTTATCATCAAATAAATTTTAAGAAATTTAAGTTTATAATTTTTTTTTTATGTTGGGCCCTTAAATATTTTTTTCATTCATTGTATTCATACAAGGAAAACGTATTTATATATAACAATACTAGTTTATAACCCGTGGGAGCCACATGTTATAAAATTAATTAAACTTTCATAATAAAAGTTTATAATTATTAATCAATTATTTTAAATAAATCATTTTAAATAAATTATTAATTAAGAGATATATCAAAATTTTAAAGTTATTATAACTTCAAATTTAACATATAATTATAAAATGTAACTTGATTTTTAAAATGAGTTGCCTAATATATTTATATGACACATGCCATAATATTAATGAGGAGTTATATTAGAGTGACACTTAACAAAAGGAGATTAAAACTATGCATTTATTAGAATAGTGATATTTAATTAAACATTGTATTTATATTTTTTAAAAATGGTATTTCTTTGTATATGTTTTCTTTTGTCTATTTGTATGCTTTAAAACATAAATACGTATTTGAGTAAATTACTGAAATTATTCCTATGGTTTGATCAAAATTACACGTTTGGTCCCTAAATTTTTTTTTTTTTTTTGCACTCGAATTGTCTCTATGGTTTGATTTTGTTGCATTTTTTGTCTCTATGGTTTGGTCAAAATTACACGTTTAGTCCCTAATTTTATGTATGTGAGGGACGAAAAACGCAATAAAATTAAACCATAGGGACGATTTGAGTACAAAAAAAAGTTAGAGATCAAATGTGCAATTTTGACCAAACCATAGGAACGATTCCACTAAATTACTTACGTATTTTAACATTTTTTTTATAAATATTAATTTATACATATACTTCCAAATACATAAACATACATATTTATAATTCTACAAAACGTAAGTAATTATATTTCTAAAATTGTATTTTTATATTTTAAATCGTAGAAATAGACAAAACAATTAATGTATATAAGGAAATATCACTTAAAAAGAATGTAGATACAATGTTTAATTAAAAAGATCATGTAGCAATACATTTTCTGTGCAAATACATTTAAAATGAAAAAAAGAATATTTACGATAAAACCTCAAAAAAATTATACCATTAATAGTGTTTTGCAAAATTTTGTTTCATTGTAACCCGGAAACTTGCTATCACAGATAAAAAAAAAACAAAAATAGTAAAAAAAACATATAAAATTCAAACATAAATAAATATAAAAATAAACTTAGGGTTAAACCGTGTTTTTTTTTTTTTGACAAACTTAAAGACTTTTATGTAAAAAGCACTAAAAAGTTGATCTTCTCCTATGTATTTAACTTCTCCGATAAGCTCAATTGTTAAAGTTCTTAATAAGGTGAAGAAAACGTGTTATCGCTACAGTCTAGAAGGGAATCATGACGACTTGGCGAGGATTATTACTTATTCGTGGGAAAAGGTATCTCCAATTCTATTTAGAGGAGTCCTAGTCAAAAGTTTGTTTAGTCACGCAATAAATACTAATTTTATAACAAACGTAAGTATAATATTACTTTATTTTCTTTTGTTATTTTTATAATTAATTTAACCTTTTTATGTGATTTTTGTATCAAGAGCACAAAAGACATTCAGTTTATACCAAAATTCTGATTTGCTATTATGTTTTTTTTTCTCAAATTTAATTTGTTACAATTTTGACCACTTGCCCGGTCAACCATGTTACATGCTGACATGACATGATGATGTGTCAGTTTTGATGACGTGACATGCTGACATGATATGCTGACATGTCAAAACTGAATTTTTTCCATAAAAAATACTAAGTTTTCACTTTCTTTTCGATTTTAACACTAAGTTTAATTTTTTCTTTCAATTTTGACATTGTTTTTTGTTCCAAATCGAACATCATTTATCAAATTTTGTTCAATTTTGACTATTTTCCATTTGAAACCGTATAAATATATTTTTTACTACATTTTAAACCGTATAAATATATTTTTTTCGTTTAAAAACCACATTTTTATTTAAATACAATGTGTTTTTTTGTTTTTTTTACATTCAAAGCATAATATATATAAATATGCATTAGTTATATCATGAGAATCAAACTAACCATAAGTTTCTAATAAGATGTAAAAATTTCACGGGTTGCAAACTTGACATCCGAGTTTTGATCGACTACTCGCCTCCAAACCTCCAAACTCATTTTAAAGTTGTGTATTTAATATAAAATACGGTTTTTATATAACTAATACATATTTATACACATAAAATTGTGATTTGAATGTAAAAAAAACCTTGTTTTTATATAAAACTATGGTTTTTAATTGAAAAAAACGTATTTAAACGGTTTAAATGTATTAAAAAAATATTTATACGATTTCAAATAGAAAATGGTCAACATTGAACAAAATTAGAAAAAATGGTGTTCGATTTGGAACAAAAAAATATAGTGTCAAAATTGAAAGAAAAAATCAAACTTAGTGTCAAAATCGAAAAAAGTGAAAACTTAGTGTTTTTTGTAGAAAAAAAATTCAATTTTGACATGTCAGCATGTAACCTGGTTGACCGGTCAAGTGGTTAGAATTGTAACAAATTGGAAAACACAGTGTCAAATTTGAGACAAAGAAAAAAACAGTGTCAAATTAGAATTTTGGTGTAAATTGAGTGTTTTTTGTGCTATTTACCCTAACTTTAAGACAAAATTGTAAAATTGGTCCATATTGTAACGCCCGTAGATCCGGGCTAGTCAATTTAGAGATAATAGGGGTCGAAAACGATTTTTCGACAAAAGATTATTTAGAATAAATAATCTTAACCAAGTTGTAGAATATGTCTCAAGGGTTCCGTACATATAAAGAACACCGAAATCCGAGTTATAACGAAGAAGTTATGGCCCGTCGAAGTTTTTCGGCAAAACCGGCACGGCACCGGGAGACGTAAATAGTGAATTTACGATAGACCGACTTTTAGCCTTAGTGATCTAAACGAAAGTCGTAGAATATGTTAAACCGAGAACATCCATAAAAAGAACGCCCAAATCTGACTTCGTATGAGGAAGTTATGAATTTTCTAAGATTTGACATAGCAGTGCATGGCTCGAAACTCGAATTTTAGTTCGAGCGGTTTTTGGCCTACGCAACCTAAATGAGAGTTGAATATCTCATTAATAGGAACTCAACGATAAAAATACAGACGAAAACGGAGTCCGTATGTAGAAGTTATGAATTTTACGCGGACGTTTAATAGTATAATCACCTCATATTGTTAAATTTAAGATCGGTCGAGAATTAGCCGACGAAGTAAAAAGAAAAGTTGTAGATTTTATTTTTACCTACGCGTGGATATAAATAACGTCAAAAACGAAGCTCGTATGAGAAAGTTATGGACGAAGCTTAGTCTCTACTTTTCGAGTGCGGCGAATTCGATATAGTTTTGTAAATCCGAGATAGAATGAGAATTAGTCAACGGGGTCTAAATGAAAGTTGTAGTACTCGTAAATACCAACGCGTGGATATAAATAACGTCGGAAACGGAGCTCGTATGCGAAAGATATGGACGAAGCTTAGTCGCTACTCTTCGTGCGCGATAAATACGATACAGTTTTTGTAAATCTGAGATAGAAGGAGAATTAGCCGACGGGGTCTAAATGAAAGTTGTAGTAATCATAAATACCAACGTGTGGATATAAAGAACGTAGAAAACGGAGCTCGTACGCGGAAGATACGGACGAAACTTAGGGGCTACTTTACTATAAAATCCCTATAAATAAAGGGTGAACTCTTCATATTTTCTTCACACCATAAGCCTTTCTTTCTCTCTATAACTTCTATCTAGTCTCCCTAAACCCCTCCCAAGTCTAGGGAGCCTCCCTAGCACGAGAAGGAAGCCACGGAGCGCCCGACGGCTCCGAGAAGAAAAGCTTTCGGCTCGGAAACGCTGCTCCAGCGAAACCTGGTTTTTAATAAAAACCCGCTGTAAGTGAGCTACGCCTATACTATATTTAATATAGCTTTTATTTAAATATTGTAATGTTATTAGGACCTTATAATAATTATTTGGGCTATTATTATGGGATATATAAGTGTCGTTATAATATCTTTTTAACCACTCGCGGTACGGGGAATCTGGTTTGGAGGGTCGCTTGGGTTGCTGGATTCAGAAGTGCTATATGCCAAAATGATCCTGTCCTCCGGTGTTCCATGTCTGGCCCCTGTCTATACATAGTGGGTGAAGAGTATTGTTTAACGCTTATATAATAGTAATAATAGCTAGACTATTAATTAGTCTCGGTGAATATTAGACTAAACTTTAGCGATAATAATGCTAGGTTTCGTCGAAGGAAAATAGAATCGTTAAAAGCGAAGCGCTGCCCGAGTTTGGAATCATCACTTTAACGAGTGAGTGCATAGTTACTTTCCTCTTACACATAGATATGGAGTATTTTATATAAATTACGTGCTATGTGTGCATATTATCTGTATACTTGCTATCTATGATGGATGAACGATTTTATACATGTTGTAAATGATTTAAACTGTATATGTATTTTATATCTACATAATATGTTGGGTAAACATGGGTAGATGAAATATGAGTTGGATGATGAGTTGAGAGGTGATATAGACCATGAGGTAAGGGTGAGAGGTGGACGATGTGAGAAGCCTTTTTCCCAAATGATGTCCCCGTCATCTAGCAGAGTATGGATGACACCCACGGACTATTCTAGACGGTCCAGTTGAACACTAGCAGGCTCGCAACCTGTAGGTGTTGTGAACGATGTGTTCACCCGGTGTACTCTAAACCCTGGCGATCATGCAGACTTGGT